ATTATTATTAGTAGTAGTAATAGTAGTAGCAATAGCACTGCTACTATTTGAATTGCATTTTGGAGTATATTTCACAACATACAGTCTTCCTTCATCAGGCCAATTGATTCAGGAGATATCGATAATTATCCTTATGCGTTGTTTATTACCTTTAGCCAGTGTTCCGAATCAAACCTGAATCTGTGGTTTTGAAAGGCTGAGCAAGGGCGAATGGCTAGATCAATAAGACCGCATTAATTGAGACTTTACGCATTCCCTGTGTAGAGGGTGTGCATCTGTGCGTCTATGTTTTATTCATCTTATATATCTTTCATAATCGCATTAAGATAGATAGATCGTGTCCCCTTGTAGAATGATTGATTAGCAGAACTGACGCTTTTATTTTGCAAATTCGCTTTCACGCCTCTTTAGCGCCACATCCACTTAGCCCTTCAATGGTCTCTGTGATAGGCACCATAGGGTCACTAATATATCCTTTTGTTACTTCAATAGTGACCTTAAACAGATTTGTTCAGTAAATTTGCTTTTGAATGTTATGTAGACGAGCTCCGGAGGAAAAGTTTGACTTAGCTGCTTCACTGGGAGTCCCGCTCAGGCCACACAGACTGACCCTGCGCCCTTAAATAAAGCCCGGTGTATGTAGGCCTTGGGACAGCTGGTCCCGGCCAGAATGGCCCAATTACTCTCTTTATTACGAAGGTTAGTTGCGTTTCAGCAAGATGTGGTCACCTGAAATCTGTACACGGGTAAAGTGAGAAATATCAATCAAGCAGTCACATGACCAAAGGAGGAGAAAGAAATCAAGTTCGATAAGACTCGAGCGTTTACAGTGTGGACAGAGTTTACGCATATTTTTTATGCATGCGTTGTTAATATATTAATCACCACCTGGAAATGATAATTAAATATATATACATAAAAAATGTTTATGAGGACTAGGGGGACTCCCCTGCTGGAAAAAAAGAGCGAGAATAAATCACGGGAGAGAGTTTGATGAGAAATGTGCCAACTGCAAACAGGCACAGGAAAGCTCCCGTGGAGGTGTGATCTCACCCACATAAAAACATAAACATGTGCGCTACAAAGCCCTTGCTTGTGCGTAATCAGTCGTCGAAACACACAGCCATAAATAGAAAAAAAAGACTGGGGAACTCTCTGTCGCTGTTTATGTGGCTTCAGCTAACAATAAAAAAACGGTTTAAATTGAGTAAAAATTTAGTTCCAGTGGGTCCAGTGTTTGAGTTTAGAGAAAAATATAATAAGAAAGAATAAGAAAAAATCTGGCCTGCTCTTAAGACACTTGTACAGTATTAGCGGGGTGTTTTGCCTGTCCCGAATATCACCAGGAAGCCCGTTCATACTTTTTTGTGCCTTCGTTCTCCCAAAACATCTGCGCACTAAATAGCACAATTATCGACGCAATTTGTCTCCTCAGCACACTGCTAAGCACCCCAAAGTTCAAGGCCACGGTAGCATCGGCCGAGGACGACCCAAAACGCCAGGGCATCAATCAACCCCGACATAAACACAGGTTAATGGTTTCATTTTCTTATTTAACTGAGATACAATTAAGACACTTAACCCATCTGAGTAGTCCAACCCATAACAAAGATTACATAAAATTCAGTAGCATAAACAACTCTTATGTTAAGGTTTCGTGTACAGCCACATTAAGAAAATTACCAAAAGTATCAAATCCAGCAAGAAAACAACCGTCATGCTTTTACGTGCCTGATGTGCGCCACATCAAACACCCAATCAGTTAAATGAGGTATGCTGAATGAGGAGTCAAATTAATGTTTTGCGCTGATGTTGCCACGGAGAACTCAGAAACCCTGGGTTTAACTGTCCCATAATTACACGATTACAAATAAACTGAATTTATACTGTTGAAGACCTTGGGAGTGACTTTTATCCTACATGGCTTTTTAAAATATCAAATGTAAAACCAAAGGGTCAAAAAGAAAACATGAAATAATTAACAGCCTTTTCCGCGGGCAGTGTGACCCCGGGACCGGAGAGGCGCACAGTGACAATCGTCACTGGGGGCAATCGTCCCCCGGCCGGGCCGCTTGTTGCTGCCTAACTCGCCATAAACCCATATATCCCAGAAAGAAGTCCTAGCAGCAGCCATAAATCATCCGGCTGTATTACAAGCTTAGGTAAACCCCCAGCCAGGTCAGTAGAGCAGAGTTTATGGCATCACTTAGGTAGGGAATAGATTGTTCTAACAAAATACATCAACTTCAAGCAGTGCGAAGGAAAACTTTCTGCTTTTGTTAAGGCCAAGCCCTCTCTCACTCTGTCTCCCTTTCCCGGCTCACTCCCGGTGTCTACCTCTTTACCCCACAACTTTTGCACGACAGGAATCCACCCATCCATTCAAAGCCATATGTTTTAAGTCAGTGGTTCCTCACTGGGGTCCGGTGAGGTACAGGGGCCACTAAGTGGCATTCAAGGTTCCTTAGAAGAAGAAAAAAAAAGATATTTGGGACTTTTTTAAAGATTTGGAAATAGATATTAGAATTTGATTATTCTAATAAAAGATTTTCATTGAAAATATTTCTTTTTTTTTTAAATCACAGCCTACTTTGGTCTTCTTTTGTGTAGAATTAATTAAATAAATGAATAAAACCAAACAAAATACATCTTAACCGGTAACCATAGTGTTACTAAAGTCACTCTTATTAACTGAGTTTTGACTCTAGGTCCTGACCGAGCAAATATTACTACGTGGAAATCAAAATAATTGGTTGTGAAGAGTTTAAGAAAGTGTGGGATATAAGAATTTCTTAAATTGCGGACAACATGGATTGAGAGCCATCTCAGAGGCTGTAAAACAATCTTCATTTAGAGTAATTTGTGTTTGTATTAGCTTAGCAGACAAAGCGACTTTCCACTGTAGTTAAATAAATAAATATATAAAATTAAACTCTTTTTTCCGTGCAGCCTGCTGTCAGTTTTTTTTTTAAATCAAAGGCCCTGTGTATCCTACAGCAGGCTAGTTTATTCATAGTGTAAATCTGGTGCGCCACTTGTATTTCAAACAATCGGTGACAAATCGGCAGAAAGTAAAATGTACCTTGGGGAAAAAATATCCATCAGCAACAACCTTTTCTCAGTTTCTGAGAGTGAAAAAACAAAAACTTCAGACGTTATGTGGACAGGTGGACAAATAAGCTGAGATCGAGACGCGTTTGCTGAGCCAGTGGCCCACTGTCCTACTTTCCTACTGGCATCACAAGCCAACCGGGAGCCTCGCCTGGGCTCCGACATTCATACTCTCAAGCTTTAGGCCTCTTTCAACCTTATTTCGACTAGTCCATTTTTTTAAATTCCCAAACATCGCAGAGTGAAACAAAGTACGGGGAAGACGTAATAGAAGAGCGGGACAGTCGTTTACATCGCTGGGAAAAACGACAGATGGAATTTCTCATTGATTTTACGCACTGCAAACATCCACACAGAGCTAAGACAGATGAGCTGTCAGAGGAAACTGATAAAAATATATAACTGAGGATTACCAAATTCATATCACGTTAATAAAAAACAATAAATAAAATAAAAACATCTGATAAAACTAAAATAATAATTACTGTAAAGATGAGGGAAGAGACAACTCATCAGTTATAAAAATGACTTTACCAAATCACACGTCGCGTTTCAGATATTTCAGATTAATAAAAAAAAATATTCAAAATGTGGGTTATGATTCAATCCCCTCCCCTTCTTTTGAAGCGCACATAAATATACGCATAGTCCAGATGTCAGAAGGCCACACACCGAAGCAATCCCTTAAAATGCACGCAGTTGACCTGGGGAAAGTGCTGTGTGTGTGTGCGTGGGGGGAAAGCCGAGACTCCCCAGTGAGATACAGTGTGGAGCTAATGTCCTTAAATGACAAAGAAAGCACTGGCAGCCCTCACAATCCTGTGCTCCAAAAAAGAATACACAACGATCATTGAAATGGATGAGCTTTCGTGGACGCACCACAATTGAATCCTGTAAAGTCAGTAATTTCATTAGAGATGCTTAAAAAAGAAAGAACGAAATCAGCCACGGCTGGTCACTTCCAAAATGAAATTAATTCGGGGGGTAGAAATGGAATCATGATTTTTTTGGGTACGGCTACATGAGCTTTAGGGTGCCGTGCCCAGCCTTTAAGAGGCACGGGTGCGGATTCGCTTGGTGTGGAGAAATATTAGGCTTCAGGAAAGCTGCAACATGAAACCTCTAGAACAGTTAAAATTTCTTACCTTCCACGGCAGACACCACAGGCAGCAAGAGGCTACATAAAAGCAGAAAGTAATCCATTGTCATAAAGCGGTCAGGTCGGACATGTAAATAGACCCACGGCAGAGAGAGTGAGGAAGGAATACAATCCTGGGTGATCCGACGCTCCACGCACCCAGTCCCGTCCCGGTCCCCGCTGTGTCAAACCTCCAGGACCAGAGTTACCTCCATTCACCAAAACACATAGAGGTGAGAGTTCAGATCAAATATCGCCTTTGATATAAAATATTTCAACCCTTCTCCCCTTTTCAGTGATTTCCAAAGTGCCTTATTAAACCAGGGAAAAGACAACAGGCGCAAGTCTCACGGTCCCTTCCCCTCGCATTGAGCGAATGCACTGAAAACAGGTAGTCCAGCCCGTGGTCACCATCCGGAGAATATTTCCAGCAGCGTTTGGATGATACTCGGTAACAAAAAAGAAAGAAAAAATGGAAATGCCAACCTTCTCCGGGAGATCCAAGCACTTTCTCTATAGTCAGAGCAGAGGCAGAGATAGCGGCAGTGCTGTCAGGATCATGCTGTATAGTCCCATACGTGCACGCTCACGTGCGTCAAGTGGTATTCCTATAAGGAGAGAGCCGCGGTTTATAGATATGTATTCCCTGAGCGAATTTATCGGCTTTGGCTGCCGCGTAAACCGTCTTGTTTCGCTCGGCTTGTGCACTGGAATGAAGCACAAGGCGGTGGATGAATAAGGAGAGGAGAGAGAGGGAGAGAGCGAGCGAGCGAGAGAGAGACCTAGGGGGGGACCAAGAGGAGGGGTTACGGCTGAAGCAGCTGCACTGAAAAACTCTACCTTGACAATCATTTACTTTCCACATTTATTCTAAAATAAAAATCTGTGTCTGCTCCAAATAAGAATGCATCGCTACATTTTTCTGCACTTATCTCCGGAGCAGCCTTTGTTTGTGCCACATCCACAATAAAGCAAACACAGGAGGTTTCTCTGCTTCTCTGCCAGATGTTTAACTGTGTAGTGACTACCTATAAGAAGCTTTAACAGTCCTATACAATGGAAGCTTTGTTAACTTGATGTTTTTTAAAAAAATTCTAGTTTACTTTTTTCTGCAGCGGGTCACTGACTTGGCTTAGAGCGCATGTAAAAGCATGGACACACAGCGCCCCCTTGCGGGTCGCTTCCGTTTCGATGAATAGGGTCTGATTAAAACTTCTTTCTCCTCAATTATTTGACTCCAGAGCACTTAAGCATTCCGGGGAATTTCCGTCGGAGTTTAACTGTTTTTTTCTCAGATATATTAAAAAGGACCTCGCCTGTTTTCAAATTCGGTGCCTTGGACATTACATCTTGGTTTTTATTTGAAAGAGTACACACATAAATAAAAAGCGATTTAGTGATTATATTCAAGTCGGAAAGGTGATAAAAGTTTTTCTCCAATTTTCGATTTAGGAAACGTCGGACTTTTCTTTGAGATTTAAAATAATAACAAAAATGGAAAAACTTATAAAGAAACGGAGCCCTTAACTTGAGCTAAACATTGAACAGCCCCCGTATGTAAATCGCTTCTCTGTGTTTATAATTCAATGAGACATTTAAGTCAATTGGTCGGGCAAAATGTTGCCAGCAGCGGTTTTTGTTTCCTTCGGGACCACGGAGCTACTATTTACTTTTCCTCTCCCCTGGATAAGTTAAGCAGAGGGCATCTGTCACGAGCGGGCTTTTCCAGCCTTTCTCCTCAACCTCCCCGAATCTACAGCCGTTCTGTCATGCTGCTACCATGTTGTTTTATTCTCAAAACACCAGTAAACAGAGGGGTTTGAAATAAGTTTACCTTCCACTCGGAAGTGAGGTCGCTTTTTATCTCACAGAGAAATGATTTCCTTTATGCACCATTTGTCAGTTTTAGGGGTCATTACAGCACTTTGAATTAACGGAAACAGCCATTTGGTCATTTGCACAAAAACTGTGATTTATTGATTAATTATAGGAAACTGGTACTTACTTTAGAGGTGAGTAAAACTGTGTCTTGTTTGTTATTTTATGCTTAGTAATAATTATATGATGCCAGAGATGTTAGAGAATGTTCTCCACTGAACAGTTATGTAGTGGGCGATTAAATAGCGTAACTACAGTGTTGTTACCACGCTGTTTTCTCTCGTGTCTTTGGAGATAAGGGAGTGATCTTGCTTACACTGGTTTATTCTACTCGGAACTAATAGCGCTTTTGCTGCTACACAATGAAGCCAAAGTGAAGCTAAATGAGGGGTTTGTCATCATTAGTGTAGAGTTGTAAAGCGATTGTGTGCCATATCCTGAGAACTGCAGTCAGACAGATGAGACAATGTTTTCCTGCGTGTGTTAGGTCGCCAGCGTCGATGGGATTGTTGCTATTTATTTGTATATTTATTTATTTAAAGACTTAATTTTCCACATATTTTGGAATTTGTGGAATTTAAGTTTGCTGTTGTCATCAACAAGCAGTTGAATACATTAAAAGCTAATACATTTTATTTTAATTATTTGGTAATTAAGCATTTATCATTATGCAATATTCTGTGAAATTAGAAGTTAGACATTTTCTCAAAATTTAACTTTAGCTTGTAAACCTAAAGAACAGCAGTTTACACCACTGTTAGCATAGCACTCTTTTACTTTTGTTGTTTAACGTAATTTTGTTTTTAATGTATATTCAATGAATTGTTCTAACATGTAAAACTGAATTAAAGTTTAACTTTTTTAATTTTGATTTTCAGTTTTTCAGGGGTTTTTTTCAGGAATTATGAGAAAAACGTTGTTTATATGAGAATACAAAAAGTTCACAAAGGGGTTGGATTTATGTATGAATACTCTCTTACTCTCTTACATTTACTCCGTGTAAGACAGTAATAAAACTCTATATGAGACTTTTGCAATATTTCCTTCAGATAGTTATTAATAATTTTTTGTTTCTCCTCTTTTGGTAACACAGCAACTCAGCATATAGGGATCCACACATCCACACAACGCAAAATAAATGCTCTTCATGCTCTCTATATGAAAGTTAATTTTAAACCAGCATGTACTGTCAGACTTACTTTTGCAAGAAAATATTCCATATTTCTGTGCAGTAAAATTTCTTTGGCATTTAAAGTTCCCTATGTTATGGGTTAGGGCTCACTGACACAAAATTTGTCCATTTCCAATAAGAATTCCTGTATACCTCACAATGACATAGTCCATTTGAAAGGAAAATCATTTTACAAGTTTAGCAACGTGGGTATAGGATCTGCGGTGGCTTCAAAGAAGACTTTTCATTACCAAAAGCCACTGAAGCCCAGACTCTCCTGCCTGCTCGCTATTAATGGGCAACTTGAAGCACACAAGTTCATGACTACCACCTTTGTTACTTTTATGTGCTTCTAACTTCTCTTTGCAGGAAATGAGGATCAACTTTGTAAAGGAAAGAAAAACATAACTATAACTTCAAAATTATGAATGTTTAGCTGCATTTATTTTTAAAGAATTTTACAAGTACTACTTTTCACTGTTGATTTTCTCTCTTTCTGAAGATCACAGAGCACAAATCATGGTCTACGATAAGCAAAAGAGTGCCAGGGCAAGTATTAGAGAACCCTCGTGTTTGGCAATGTAAAAAGATAAAGATAAATGTGTCAAACCATAAATATAGTCTTGATATAAACCAGACTTTGGAGGAGGGGGTGTTTTTTTCCACATTAATATATGTATATATATATATATATATATACACTTCACCCGTTGCCTACTGGTGGTGGTCAGAGGGCCCGGTGGCGCCAGTGTCCGGCAGCCTCGCCTCTGTCAGTGCGCCCCAGGGCAGCTGTGGCTACAATGTAGCTTGCCATCACCAGTGTGTGAATGGGCGGATGACTGAATGTAGTGTAAAGCGCTTTGGGGTCCATAGGGACTAAGTAAAGCGCTATATAAATACTGGCCATTTACCATATATTATTATTATGATATGTATATATATATATATATATGTATATATATACTGAGGACAGGATAATAGCAGGATACTTCGCAGTTTTTCAATGTTGCCTCTTTGAAATGAAATTGTTAAGATAAGATAAGATAAGATACCTTTATTAGTCCCACGAGTGGGAAATTTCATGTCCATTATCTTCCCAAATATAACCTCAAACAAATACATATACAGACATACTCTCCACAAACAAAGAAGGAAACAGTCCACTAAGTCCTGGGAGCGTCACAACAGCACCTGGCACACATTAGAAACTCAGTAAGTAAAGTGGCAGACATTTTACTGCCATATGGAAATTTCTCAAGCTTACACCTACTGAGCCCTCGCCAGACCCTCACTAACCTCATCCATCCTTCCTCCCACTCATCTTGTGCCAGGGTAACAGTGTCTCTACTTTCTGTTTTAAAGCAGCTCTGCACAGATGCACATAAGCATTGCAAAAAAGACCTTTTATTATACACAATGAACTTCCTTCACAAATCACACGCATGGGTGCAAGCACAAACACGCACGGTCACCCCTCTAGCATGTATAAAACTAATGCAGACACACACTACACACACACACACACACTGTAGCTCTTATGTCTGGGTCTGGTCTAATAGCAGCACTAATGCGATGTGAGTGTGAGAGGATCGCTTTACTCCGGCAATATTAGGGGAATGGTGAGCTGTTGGTTATGTTAGAGTGTCTTTTGATGTATGTGTGCGTGAACAGCCAAAATGTACTGGTAGTACTGGTGGAGGAGGAGGACTTGGTAGTGCTGGTGGCTCTGGAGAATCTCACAAAAGCTCAAAGCTGGAATCCAGGAAGAGAGGAGTTGTGTGTGTGTGTATGTGTGTGTGTGTGTGTGTGTGTGTGTGTGTGTGTAGGAGACTGTAGGGCTGTTCACAAGAGTTTTGAGGGTGGGGGTCTAATCCTCCAGGCCTTCACCACTGACCCAGCACTTAACACAGGATCACAAACATAGTCCCAACTGAACTCCCCGAAGACCACCATCATCCACACTCTTCTGCACACACCAGGACAAACACACATTCGATACCAGTTCCAGATCCTTGTGTCTGTAAATCGGCACCTTTTTGCTACCTTCTCTCCTCTTTCCTTACCATGACTGAGAGCCCAATCTCAGCCACAATCAGCTACTGTCTGTCTCTGGTGATCTATCGCCTTTCGGCACTTTCTTTACCTAACTGAGAAAAGATATGCTTCACTGTCTCAGCTGACTGCAGATTTATGACTCAAACTGCCGTCATCCTGATTTTGCTGTTTGTACGCTGACAGAGACACTGACAGGAAGGCATTTAGATAGAGGGAGAGTCTCTTTAGATGGGCACAGTCAAATACACGTATGGGGATCATGACGCCATGCAGGCGCACGCATACACGGCTGACAAACTGCCTGAGCATGCTAATTATACGCTGTGCAGAGAAAAAGCAAAAGAAATAACCCTTCAGCACTATGGCAGCAATGCACAGAGAACACAAACTTGTTTGACATGGTTCGAAAAATTGATAATAAAATTTACCTGTTAATCAAGACACTCTGCCCTAAAAACACCTATCCCAATCTCAGCTGTAAAAGCAGCTAATAAAGCGTAGTTGTGTTTACAATCACAAAAACTGTGTGTGAGTTTGTATATATGAAGCCTGTGACATGACTACCTTAATCGTCTGCTGTAGCTTAAAAAACTTTATTATTGCTTAACATTACTTCATGTGGGTCAGG